ATGTCGGGTTCCATCTGTTAGCTACATCTAAACCCACACGTTTTTTATTTATCAACTTACATTGGTTAATAGCGCTCTCAAACTTCTGGTTCGCTGAAGTTGATCTTTTCAAGTACTTTATAGTATCTCGAATGTTTTGAAGCAAACCACCCACAAGACTTAATCCATCTTGAACAATTAAGTTTAAAATATGCGCACTACATCGAACACGAAAAGTTGACTGAACCCCTCTTTGCAGTTGTCTCTGTTGCTCCACCTAACAGCCTGGGCAGCGATGTTGAGCTCTTGCAGTCCGGCAAGTGGCAGCTTTCGCTCTCACTCGTATGCTTCTATTTTTATTTTTTTTTATTTTTTGATAATCCAGTGTCGGGGCTTACGCTCCCATAATCCTGGAGTCTATTAACTACCCTCCAAAGCCCCTAGACAGTTAAATCCGGATCTGATCACAGTCAGCCTCGTCAGTACTGGCTCCAAAGGACGAATCCAACGGGACTTACATCACCTGCTCCTCCCACCACACGAACCCGCCACCTTAATTACCATCCTCTCCCTTCTCAGCCGCTGAGCAACTCCGTGAAGGTAGGAAGAATCATTGGGAGCAAGACCTTCCTCATCTTCCTCCCCTTGGTGGGAATTGAACCAAGACCTCCCACAAAGGAGAGACTTGGGGGTGGATGGTCATCCATCGGACTACACCCACCTTCCCGACTCGTATGCTTCTATTACAAGCGATGTTGAGCTCTTGCACTCCGGGGACCTTGGCTTCTTACTATGAGCGGTTAGACCCTTAGGGTATGACCGTATGAGTGTATCTGTGTGACTGCCTATGAACCTCTTTGCCTTCTTTGTAAAATTAATGGCTTTGCAAAGTGAACGGCCTTTTTCTTGAATCCTTTTAAAGCTAATGTAATATGTATATTAGACTGATATATATATATATATAAATAAATATTAACGGGTCGAGTCCTAAATGGGTCGGAACTACATATATCATATCCGATCCATTAAATAACGAGTCCGGATCCGGGTCCGGGTAACAGAATTAAATGTAGACTCATACCCATTAAAAATAGACGGATTTGGGTTGGGTTTGGGTCGAGACCCGCCCCATTGATAGGCCTACTAATCATGCTCTAAATGTTAGACGTTTATTACATTACATTATTTACATTTACATATTTACATGTAATAAGGATGTTTTTACTTGGACTGTAATTTGCTAGTCTAGTCTGGTTTGGTTTGGTTTGGTCTAGTCTGAATTGGTCTGGTTTCTTTGTATTTTTATAACTATCCAAGTCTTGTCTGATTTAGTCCATTCCGCTTGATTTAGCCCAAAAGGCTTTTAAGTTTCCTGAAAGACTGAAATTGACATTTTTTGTCCAAAAAATTTGTTGAATTAACTAACAACACCAAATACCCAACATTGAAATTTTATTTCTTTGAAAAGTAATACTGCATTTTACTACATATAAAATTAAAGTTATGATACAAAAGTTGGTTATTTATCAATTAAGTCATTTTTATAACATTTTTTAGCAACACCCGATTTGTTAAAACATACCATATTACTTCCATAGATACATTCAATCGAAACTAAATATTTTTAAAGTAATGGTCCTATAAAGGACTAATAGTAAACATAAATGCGCAAATAGGATCAAACATTTTTTATTCCCTAAATAGGACTCTGGATTACCATTATACCCTTTTATATAATAATATTACAACCCTAAATTTCTATCGCTCAACTCCCTACGCCTCTCATCTCCATCACGATCTAAGCAGTTGCGCCTCTCCCCTGCGTCTCTCTTGATCTCGATTTCAATGGTTCCTCTGCCGATTGACTTCGCCATTGATGGGTTGCTGGTTGTCCACAGCCGCCGCCTACTCTCTGGTTCTCCATCGCCACGATCGTCACTCCGCTTATTCGAGGTTTTCTCCTCCTCCTCCTCCTCCTCCTCCTCCTCCTCCTCCTCCTCCTCCTCTGTTTTGCGTTTACAAAATCGAATTATTCACTTATTTCCTTATTTTTTGGTAGAACTTTTCGATTTGATTCAATTTGCTGAGTTTTGCCATTAACTTTTTGGGTTTTTGGGCATTGATTTTGTAGTTCAGATTTCTGAATTTCAATAAATTTTTGATTTGATTAAAAACTCTGTTTTTTCCGATTTTGGATATTGGGTTCATATTTTTCCAAATTTATGACAATTTCATGTAATATATTATGGAAGAAAATGTGTATTTTGACGTCCATTTGACAGTATTGCCAATTATAGGGCATATTTTCATATGATATTATGGCAGAAAAATATTGTTTTCTTTGAAATGAACTGCCAAATATTATGAGAGAAACTGCCAATATAATGTTCATTTTTTATAAAAGATGGCAAAATTATCTTTTTATGTTGTCAACTTTTTTATGAGAAATCTCTTTCGTTTTTATAATTTTTTGTATATTGGGTTCATATTTTGCCAACTTTTTTGGCAGAAAAACGGTTACTTTGACATCAATTACAACATACTTCCACTTTTATGATAAATCTAATATAAATATTATGGCAGAAATATTCTTATTTTATTCCACTTTTATGGCAAATCTAATATCTAGCATTATTTTTTAGATAACAAAATGGCAAATTTGCATCTACAAAACTGACAGAGACGTTGTACGTGCAGTGGGTGGAGTGGTGGCATCGGAAAGAGCGGCGGAAACATCGAAAAGGCCAGCGGTGGCGGCACCAAAAAGGGAGGCGGTTGGGTGGTGGCGGATTTTTTTCTGGCGGCGGCAGTTAGGTGGTGGCAGATTGTTTATTGGCGGCGGCAGTTGGGTGGTTTTGTTCCGTCAAAAGCTGGGAGATCTGCTAGGGGTTTTTTTTTTTTGTTTTTTTGAATTGTAAATAGATTAGAAATCATTAAGGACAATTTTGTCAACTAAATACATTTTTAGTCCTATGAAACATGGATATCCTATTTGTGCATTTGTTTATTGTTTTAATCCTATTTAGGGAATTAACTCATATTTTTAACACCAAATACCCAACTTTGAACTTTTATTTCTTTGAAATGTAATACTCCGTACTACATTTTACTACATATAAAATTAAAGTTATGATACAAAAGTTGGTTATTTATCCATTAAGTCATTTTTATAACGTTTTTTAGCAACACCCAATTTGTCAAAACATACCATATTACTTCCATAGATATATTCAATCGAAACTAAATATTTTTAAGCATGAAATATTAATTACGAATACTCTACAAATGTACCGAAGTTAGATTAAAAAAATTAGCCATTTTTTTTTTATTTTCACTAAAATTTCATTTTCTCCCTTTTCCAATTTGTTTGTCACAATTATGTTACCAATTTATGATTTGGTATTATTTTCTTTTATTCAAATTTACATTTTCTATTTTCAAAAGGTCTATTGTGATTTTTTTTTTACAATTTAGATCTTTATTCTAGCTTAATCTTAAAATCTAAATTTTTATTTATTCCATTTTTAGTGTTTGTAATTTCTACCAATGTAAAAAAGCGAATATCTTGAAATGACGATAAAAAAATGTTTACCAAAAGTCCACCCTTCTTCTACCTACCAAAATAGTTGGGATTATTATTACCATTTTGATACACTTTCGGTACATGTTTACAATTTCCATTATATCACTTAAAATTATAATATTAATACATTTATAACATGATAAACTAAAATTAAATGATAAATTATATAATATAATTTATAGAATATAATAGTATAAATAAAGAAAATAGAAAGAAACTAGAAATACTAAAACGGAAAAATAGAACATTTAGGTTTTTAGACTTAAGAAAGCATAAAATAAATAATAAAAAAATAATTATTTTTTACTTTCTGAAACCAATGTAATTTTGAATAAAGGAAAATAATACAAAATCATAAATTGGTAACACAACTTAGGAAAAAAGCAAGAAAAAAGGAAAAACAATTAGTGGAAATAAATCAAAAAATGACTAAAAATATTTTATTTAACATCGGTACATTTGTATAATATTTGTAATCATTTATACATGTTTAAAATATTTAGTTTGTAAATTTATAAAAATATTTTTACATCTTCAAAAAAGTGAGAGTTGATAGTTAGGATTAATAAAAAAGGTCAACTATAGTTGGGATTATTTAAAGCTGACGGATAGTTCGTATTTAAAAATGACCTGCTATACCAGGTTGTAACAGGTTAGAGACCATTTTTAGAAAATGGTTCCTATAGTTGGGACCACTCAAGAATAATCGATAGTTGAGATTATTAATGACGGATCGCTAATAGTTTGAATTATTATTTTCAATTTTCCCTAAATAACTAGTATAGTACCCGTGCGATGCACGGGATATAAAAATTTGAATATACTTATTTCATATGAAATATAATTCACACCAAAAAATGACAATAATTACTACACTAAATGTACATAAATAAAATATAATGATAAATGCAATTTCTAGAAAAAAATCAATTTTCTAGCTTTTTTAATAACATAACAAATTAAGATGATATGTATGATTGCATTGGTCACTATATATTTGAAGACTTGATCATAACAAAACAAACTACTCCGTATTTATGTATATATTTGATGAATTGATCATACTTTGAATTGATGTGTTTGCTTCTTATTTTCTCTGTCCCATAAAATTCTTTCCTGTTTAATTTAGATCATGAAAATGAGAAAAAAATGTATAGTATTATTGATTCTCATAATTTAGATCACAAATTTAAGTGAGAAAAATTTTAAGGGGCAAATGTAGTATTTTTTTTAAGAATACCATGTATTTATTGATTCTCATGTATTAAGTGAGAAGAATTTTAAGGAGGAAATGAAGAATATCATGTATTATTGTTTCTCAAATGAAATTTAACTTTTCCTTTTGATTACAATGCGTTGTTTTTCACTTTACACATTGTAATCACTCATCCGCTGCTTCCTCTAACTATTGCATTTACATGTAGTTTTCTTTCCAGCAATTTTTCTTGAGGCTCCATTTATTACACACCAACATATGTATATGTATACATATTAATCTTAAGTAGCATATTAACAAATAAAAAATTACAATTGGACTCTATTATTCCATCACAAAATCCAAATCCCAAGAAATATAAATAAACAATGCCAAAATGATAAATAAAAAATTACAATTGGACTCTATTATTCCTCCTAGCTAATTGACATTGTTGGCTGAAACGTCCGCCGCTTTTCATAATTCCATTTGTGACCCGAGCATCCGCTGCCCTTCGAAATCTTAACGGTTGCTAAAACATTCAACCGCTCTTCTTAACCCAACGTTGACCAAAACCTGAAGTGGCTAATTAATGGCAGGGCACATCCATACATGGCTCTACATTTTTTAGAAGTGTAACATGACACATGTCACATTAGGGCATCCTCATCCTTGAGATGATTTGGAAATCATGTTGATGATGTGAAACATATATTGTTAGAGATTATGATTGAGAACATGGACGGATCCGGGATTTGGAGTCAAGGGGGGCAAATTTTTTTTCGTTAGTGTAGTGGGTGAAATTTTTTTCGCTAGTGTAGTCAGGAGATTTTTTTTTGCTAGTGTAGTGGGGCGAATTTTTTTCCGCTAGTTTAGAAAGACTTTGCGGCTAATTTTTATTAAAAAAAGAATTCATAAGTACATACATGATGATATTTAAATACTCCCTCCATCCCAGAAACAACTTCTCGCTTTCCTTTTCGGACAATCCTGAAATTAACTTCACACTTCTTCCCAGTTCCTTATTTGGCAAATTCCCTACATTCAAAAAGTGTCAAACAGTACCAAACAATGCCAAACATTGTCGAAACAGTGTCCATACAGTAAAATCTATCCCCCAACATGTTTATTTCCTTAATATGTGTGAAAAAGAAGTTTGAAGTTGTTTACGGGACGGAGGGAGTATATTACATTCTAAGTTTAGACAATGAACAAATAACTTTGATTTTATAATTGTAAGTGCTTTAGAAAAAAAAGTATTGATACATAAAGCGTAAGAAATAGCAAATCAAAGGAAAATTATTTGAAGGTAAAGAGTTTAAAAGGTGCACAACCACCAATTCTTTTTAAATAACTCATGTCATGTTTAACAACATGAATCTTATCGTTAAAAGGAATAGATTTTTGAATTACAAATTTTGTTTACCAAGAAGGGTGTTCGTGAGTCATGAGGATAGTATGTACGTAGTATGATATTATTATTTTTAGAATAATATTATTGAATTGCAAATTCTGAATTGCAAGTTTTGCTAATATTACAAAAGTATAGTATGTACGTAGTATGAGATTATTATTTTTAGAATAATATTATATCGTTGATTCATAGATTGATGTCTTTTCTATCTTTCCTCTCTTTTTTCTTTTATCGTTTATCTTCTTTATCTTTTTATATTCTTATGTTATTTTTATCTTCTAGCTTTTTATGCTCTTTTATTTTTGATCTTTTATCTTTCTTATATTTTTGTGTTAATGTTATCTTATATTTATTTCTTTATTTTATTCGTTTTATCTTACTTCTTTTTCTTCCCTTTCTTGTCTATCTTCTCTGTTTGGCATCGATATCATAGATCGATTCATGTTAGCTGACTCCAAATTCTTTTGGGATTAAGACTTTGATGTTGTTGTTGTGATAAAATAAGTTAAAATTTATTATCTATGCAATAAATTATTTTTAAAGAGTAAGAAGTAAACAAATTGTGTAATTTTAGATTCATTTCACATGATCGAAAAATTGTTTAACTAATGTGTCTCGTATATAATATTGCTTGATATTTTACAAATCGTGTAATAATTATCTAATAAATTAAAGATAATTAAACATTTCAAAACTATGAATTTTTATATAATAGATATCCTAAATCTTGAACAATGAGTTGTTCTATTGTTTATTTGCTTAAGTTATGTAAATTATTTTAGATGTTTCATATTTTAAATCTCCAATTAAGTATTACATAATGTAAGGCTATATATTAATTTTGAAAACTAAAAGTTAAGGGGGGCGAACACATTTATATCTAATTAAAGTATAAAAATTTTTTGAAAATATTAAATATATTGTATAAAAATTTGAAAGTCCAAGGGGGGCGGTCGCCCCACCCCTTAAATCCATCCCTGATTGAGAAGATGAGATTATGTTGAAATATTATTTAGTTAAAAATCTGGTATCAAAGATTGAATCCTTGCTAGATTCAAGATTATTCTCAAATTTCAATTATCACATCTAAATTATATATTCTGTATATAAATATAATACACATACTAATATTTATAGACAATAGATATTTAGAGGTACATTCCATAATTGGGTGAACCCAAAGGTTACACCTAGAACAACTGTAAATGCATTAGATGAACTTTAATTTACATCTCGAATTCTCGATTATCTCAAAGCAACCTAAATGATTGTGCTCAGAGAGAACTAAATAATAAGTACTGCGTATATTATACCACTAAATGATAACTTTCATGAATAACACTACCTCTATGTTATAACTTAATGCTTTGTTATTAAAAATCGAATAGGTAAATATTCTATATACGGAGTATAAATATTCAATAACAATAATAATTACTCCATCCTTCTTAAATTATTTGACCTTCATCAATAAAAACAATACGGAGTAATTACTCCAGCCTTATAACAAATATCATACGTAATATCTGCTACATATTCCAGAATTCTTATTTGACCTTAATCATTTCGTGAGTAGGATAAACGCGCCACTCTAAATCTTGAAGCTTAATTTGTTCTTTGAGGAAGACAACTATCACTCCATATGTAGAAGGCATCTATACAAAACACGTGAATTTAATTAGTATTTTTGATAGAAAAAAGCAACCACTTCTATAAGAGACAATACTCGATCGGCTAATTAATATTTTCTCTTTTTTTACAAAGATCGGCTAATAGACTTGAACATCATGAAGTGAGCAATATTTATTTTAAAATTAAAATGCAAGAAGACATCCAGACCATATATTCTTAAAGCCAATCAAGTAAAATAAGTACAGAAACATGTATTACCTTGTTCGTATTGTGTGGAGAATTACCTTGTGAAAATGTTAAATTGACTGGTGTCCAAAGAGCACAAATGCATCCTTTATATACTACTTATTTCATGAACCAGTGAACCAAAAGGCCAGACATTGTAGTCGGCCAAATAAATGTGTTACACCGTTTAGGAAGTATTTTCTTTGAACTCAACATCTGTGTTCCAAAATTTTCTTTGAACCAAACCATTAGCTTTGGTCAGCCGAATAACCAATTCTCTCACACAATTCTTCCCTTGAACTGCGTATGAATCAATAATTTTTAACCTAGGTATTCACTCAAAATGCTACAATGCTTCCTCCAAAAGTTCATTGCCACTATTATATATATAAACATATTTAAAAATTTAATCTTCTAGAATCACCATCATGGCTTTTTGACCCATAACTCGAAGTCTGAAAAAAATTAAAAACCACAAATCTCATACTCCCCATGCATATCCGCTGGAAAGTATTCTAGTTCTTTGATTACTTTAAAAAAATTAGACACGACAAATTAGTGAAGCAAAAATATTTCATAAACTTAAACAAAACTATAATGAAATAACGTTCGATCTCATTGTTTATAATTTAAATTTGATTACTTAACTCAAATAGACATCTTTCACGAAATGCATACACTCACATACAAATGAGCTTAAAATACAAGAAGAACCTCTCTAAGCATTGTCTTTTTCATCATAAAAAATTTACAAAGTGCAGAACATCAAAAAAAAATGTTTAGGGGGGACTGGGAGGTGTGTTTTAGGAGGAAATTTACTTGGATCTCGTTCAAAATCAGAAAGAGTTAGCATGGATTGCTCTGCCACCATCTTGTTTTAAAAATAGTATCGTGGACTCGTGGTGTACTGATGTTGCTTTTCAAACCTTCACAGTTTGGTGTTGGTGGGGGAATATAGGTTTGCAGGGTTTTATATGGAGGCGGGGAAGAAACACACCACCAACACGGCACCAACCCATGATTCAATGTAACATTGATTAAATAAATGTTGGGAATTTCAAAGGGTATCTGGAAAATTGCAAAACATCTTTAAGAAGTTGTAAGACTATGAACAATTGATGCATAGAACCCATAAATAATTTCTGTAAAACAGATTTTGCATCATCAATTTTTAACGTATAAGTCTTCTTGAAATGTGAGGAGAGCAGCCAATTATACGTGTCAGTATCATTAGAGCCTTTCCAGCGTAAGAAAACGAACAGCCTTCTCCGTTGATGTTTATTTCGGTATTGGGATAGATGCATTCATGCATCTTTTTAAAAAGAAGGGACATGAGAAAGTTGGACAGCCTCAACATAGAATAATTAATGTATTTATTGATGCTAATCCAGAATACAATTAAATGGCAACACACGTTCTCTTTGGCTTACTGCCATTCCCGCCCAAAATCCTCCCAAATCTCCCCCACACTTTTCTGTTTTACTATATATATAGATATAGATTTGAAACATAAGAAATACTTCTTCTGTCTCTTAGAACTTGTTGATGGTATTGGTCCACCTCATTAAAGCTTTGGTCTCATATTTAATGAGTCTGGCCCATTTGGGCTGTCTCTCCGACCAAGCCCACTTGCCCCATTTTGTCTTCTCCCAGCCCATGACTCTTGTGGCCCTTCCCTTATATTGCCTGGTTCCTTCTGGAACAGCCTATTTGATCGTTCAGTCCTTCTCTCTAACCGATGTATCTTCTAGAGTGTTACCCTAATTCTAGAGTGAGAGTGCCGATTTCACTGTGGTACTGAGCTCCGGCTAACCTCCGATGATTCCTTGGGGAACCTTTTGTGGGCTTTACTCTGGTCTGGTTGTTTGGGGGTTCTTCTATGGTGGGTTCTCTGAGTTATCTGGTCTGGGGGGTTAGGCTCCTAAATTGAGTGAGTGTTTGTGACTGTTGCCCTTCGTCTTTACTGTTTGCAACCCTGGTGGTGAATGTCGAGCAAGCCCTTGGGCTTTTGGTGATTGAGGCCTCAGACTCTGAGCCGGTCTGGATTTACAACAAATTTGTGGTTCCACTAACTTTGTCACTTTGTGTTTTAAGTAACGAATTTATGGTTCCAGTTAATCTTTTCTTCTGCACAATCTCCATCGCACAATTTTTATTTTATTAATCCACTATCAAACAAAATGCTAACAGCAAATTCAAAGTGAAACAATCTCTGAAACAAATAAAAGTCCAGCTGAAACAAATATGTCCCATCTATCTTAAACTCTAAACCCACAGCAGCACGAACTTTGATGCCACTGAAACAGTGACCTGTTCACTAATCTCTGAAAGTTCAGCTACTCCATTTTAGCACTCTCTGGCAATGTATAGAGCTGCATTCTCCATTGCTTCAGCCTTCAGGTTTTTCTTGTGTTACTGTTAATTTGATTTTTCTCTACAATTTCGTCGAAACAAGAAAACACGCCTGAATTAACTGCTGTCGGTTTCTAACCAGGTCATCTTTTTCAAGAGAACAGGTAAATTTTATAACCATCACATATTCATTAATGTAATTATACATTAGTTCGCTGTGGTTCTAGAAATGTTAGGTTGTATCAATGCGTAGTGTTGAGAAAATTGTTTTTCTTGTTGCGATCTAAATATCTGATTAGACTGAATTTTCTGGGTGCTAAGTGGAGCTGTTTTGCTACTTTCTTTATTTTGTAGTTGCTGACTTTGTTGTTCGTCTGGTAAAGATAGTTAGCAGGTTATATCTAGCAGAAATTATGCTGCTAAGGATATCAGTTTTGGAACAAGGACTCGAATGGCCATGTTACAAGGTGTTAATGAGCTTGCAGAAGCTGTGAAGGTTACGATGGGACCTAAGGTAATTTTTCTCTTGTCCTGCAGTTCGCCTTTTTAAAATAACTTTCTTTCTTACATTTTAGCCATTTGAAATATTGTGTATGGAAGCAATATCTAGACAGAGAATAGGAAATACCTTGTGTACTGTGTGTTCATAGTTGCTGGAGATAGAAAAATATCCATAGAGTGGCGTTATGCTGCCATCATGATACATATCATTTCGGTCACCCTAATTGGAACTGTTTTTGTCTTTAAATGAATCTCTAGGGCCGTAATGTGATTATTGAGAGCAGTGGGGGGAACCAAAGGTGACAAAGGATGGTGTCACAGTAGCCAAAAGTATCAACTTTAAGGAAAAGGCAAAGAATGTTGGTGCAGAACTTGTGAAGCAGGTTGCTAATGCTACTAATTCTGTTGCTGGAGATGGTAATTACTAGCTCTCCTCTGAATAATACAATCATGTACTCCCTCTGTCCCAAATTAATTTTGTCACTCTTCTTTTTAGGTAATTACTAGCTCTCCTCTGAATAATACAATCATGTATCCGAAGCATATTTACGGAGGGCCCTATTCATTGAGGACAACAACAACAAGACTACCCCAGTGCCGTAAAGGCTCCCACCTACAGTGCGGTAAGGGAGGGTCGAACGTATGCAACTTTAAGTATAGAGAGGCTGTTTTTGAAAGATGGTGAATGGATGTCTTTCATTCCCATCTTGCAAGTAAGTTCTCGAAACCGCTCTACTGGAAGCCCTTTGGTGATGCATTCCGCTCTACTCGATCGTGCCACGACATTCTGTTTCTTGCTCCTCCATGTCACTAAATTTTCACCCAAGAACATGCAATATCCAGTAGTAGACCTCCGGTCAACAATTGACCCTGCATAGTCTGCATCTGTATAAATCTCCATAGACAGATGTTCCTCCTTTTTGAATAGCAGTCCTCTCCCAGGACTTGCCTTCAAATACTGCAAGATTCTATTCACTGACTGCAATTGTCTTTCGCGTGGATCATGCGTGAACTGACTAACCACATTAACGGGATATGCTATTTCAGGCTTTGTGTGAGATAGGTATATGAGTTTTCCCACGAGTCTCAGATATTGAGTCTTCTCTACTTTTGGGCTCTCCTCATCACTCCCAATCCTGTGATTTTGCTCTATGGGTACTCCAGTGATTTTGCAGCCTAACTTACAAGGCTAGATCGCGATTCAGGGAAGTTAGGGAGAGTGTAGAAGAGCATGTCTATCCTCTGAGCTCGGACAGACGATCGGCGAGTTTGGAGAAGGTGAGTGCGATCTTGTCCCGTTATCAGCTACTGGTTTATTGTCACCACCCTTTCATCTCGGGTAGCACGCTTTTGAGTATTCGACTTTTTAAAACAGTGAAAACAACGCTTCTCGATCAACCGAATAATAAATCCCGAGAAAATCAGGTAAGGTAGTTTTTTCAAAAAAGTTGAGCTACTGGTTTAACTTTTGGAGAAGGTGAGTGTGATCTTGTCCCGTTATCAGCTACTGGTTTATTGTCACCACCCTTTCGTCTCGGGTAGCACGCTTTTGAGTATTCGACTTTTTAAAACAGTGAAAACAACGCTTCTCGATCAACCGAATAATAAATCCCGAGAAAATCAGGTAAGGTAGTTTTTTCAAAAAAGTTACCCTGTAGGATTTGCTCATAGAGTCCTAACCACGTTTGTATCATTCATATGTCTGAATGCTCAAATCAGAATATTTCAGGGTAACTTTTTTGAAAAAACTACCTTACCTGATTTTCTCGGAATTTATTATTCGGCAGATCGAGTAGCGCTGTTATTCGGAGATAAACTCTACCTTGTCAATGACGCCAAATTCTATTGCTTTTAGAGGATCCATGTAGAATGGTCTTTTCATCACATTAGCAACAGTCTCTACAGGCTGGTGGGATATAGATTCACATGATTATTTGTCTCATTAGGTTTATAGATTGAATAACAAAGAAATAGTTAACTACTTGTTAAAGCATAAAAAATTCATACTTACATTTCCAGTGTGATGGGCCAAAAGTTCGACAAGGATATCTCTTTGTATTATCACCTGAAAGAAGTACAATAAATCAGCACACAGTGAAAAATCGAAAAACATAACCTTACAAGACACCTACAATTACTTAAATTCTACAAAAATGGTTCTTATTCAGTGCATGTAATTATATGGACCTTCTATTCTATTTATTAATTTCAGGTATGTTTTTTATTTTCGACATGCCATTAGCCAAGCTGTACAATCTTCATTTCAACCTCAGATTCATGGCCCTATGCTGGAGATGGATCATCAAACCATGAGCACTTCATACATATCCTCGATATTCACTAAAACTACTAGAGAGTTGGGTATACCAATGTCAGACAGATGACAAATCAATAAAAGATTAAAAGCTTTGAAACATCCTCTAGAAGCCTATTAAACTTGATACGAGAAAATAGTTCATCCTTTGAAACTCAAACGGGAATGTAAAAACATGGGAGATCTAAGCTAACCTCTTTAGCCCGAATGAAAACGTCATTGGCCTGTAGCAACCCAGATGATGGTACCTGAGGCTGTTGAATCAGAGCTGGGACAAAACTTCATGTTCTTACCGAAATACCTTTGGATATTTAAAATATAGAGGTAGAGAGTATACCTTTTGAATGTGGCAGCATAAACCTTTTCCCTTTAGTTCCTGCAGCCAGCAAGAGACATGCCTGACCTATGGCAGCCCCAACTGCAACAGTGTGGATCTGCACATCAAAGAGACAGGAAAGCGTCAATAAGAATAACCAATAATCTGGAAATATTTAAAATGTAATGGATAATATTAGTATATTACGGAGGTAATTCTAAATTGATTAGTATATCTTTTCCAATTGTTAAATATATACATTTCTACAACAATCATATATCATGTGTTCAATTTTTATATAAAAAGTATGTACAAACTATTCATCATACAAATACTTTATGGATTAATTTAGTTTCATTCACCATTCGTGCAACGCACAGGTTGATAGACTAGTACATAATTATCAATTCCAGATGGTTGACTATATCTGGAAAACATTCTGACATACAGACATGAAGTAGTAGTGTAGCACTGCCATAGCGGGTGGGGCACTGCACAAGTTTCCTATGGGCATGGGGACAAAATGTGCTTCTCTAGGTGATAGGGGGAATAGAAAAGCACTTATCAGCTAGGCGGACGTCTAGGCAGGGTATTGAAATGAATACGGAGTACAAAAGTAATAATTAGTTACAAGAACAGAAAATACAATTGTGATACTTTATTCAAGGTTTAATAATTCCAAATATGACAACAATCACATTCCAATAGTGTCCAACATAACATACTTGAAAACAAGAAGACTATGAATATGGGTGAGTGGATTATGTTATGATACACTGAGAAAAATGTAAAGTCAAGAAAGAGTTTTTGAGGATGTGAAACCCATTTGGAAAAGGGATAAACATAAAGGCATCGTTATGCCTCCATAATTTTTAAACTTTACTTTGAAACAGTCAAAACCAGTAGGGTTAGATAGTTCGACACCTTGGTGGGGACACCTAGGTAGTGCGTGTGGCATCTATGCAGCACATCATCCGGCGCACTGGAATCTTTTGAGCACATAGAGGCGCATTAATCTTTTTCAGAGCCAAATTCCTTACCACCTGGCGCCTAGAGTGAATTTAATAATGGGGAAAATAATTTAAATACCTCAAACTTTGATGGGGTGTGAAATAAGTACCCCAAACTTGCATATGTAATATATATACCCCGAACATTATAAAAAAAATATTTTCACACCATGATTGTATGTTTTTTTACAAATACAAATTTATTGGAATAATAACATAATTTAAAATACTCTAAGCTTTGTTAAGAATGCAGTTAACATTCTAAATTTCATTTGTGAAATAAATAATATTATTTTAGATTTCAATAATATGTTTAATACTACGTATATCTCTCAAATATATTTGGATTTCAATAAGCACAAAACTTGCTTCAAATGAGAAAGCCATGTACCTGACCTCACAGTGAACACACATCTCTAGCACTTTTGTGGACAAGCGGTCGTGCAAATCTCTTGAGATTTAGCATCTGTTTCAACAATTGCCAATAGCAATCCCTAAACAAAAGAGACAAAAAGTAAGCACAATGACAGCAGTTACGTTGGGCACCCGTCCAGTCATCAACCTGTGCAGTAATCTGGTAATATACATGTTAAGCAGTCTTCCACAGTCCATTAATTACGGTTTACTGACCCTTCCCTATCAAGCAAAACCCTTTGCTACTTTTTGTATAGCATGCTTGATAATATGTCTTAGTAGAATCAATTGGAACATGCAAATGTAAATAGCAAAAGGACAGAAGAAAAAAGAAACCTTACCATTTTCTAGGCCCTTTCATTTAGAATCTCTGAGTTATTTTCTGCGTTAAAAATGTGAGAAAAGGGGCCTAGGTTTTTGTTAGATTCAACCCAGCTCTTTCCAGGAATCTTTTCCACCTTCTTCTGTCGCATCGCCCACCAAACCTTGAGAGCATCATCCCACCGTCCAATTGCTTTGTACACTTTACCCAAATACACATAACTCATATGATAATTGGGTTTCAATTCAATTGTTCTCTTTGATATTCGCTCTGCAAGGGCTGGATCTGTAGTGCTGCTACAAGCTCCAAGCAAGCAAATCCAAAGAGAAGGATCACTTTTGAAGTCTGAACTGTTAATCAAACACTCTGATTCTTCGAGCTCCCCAGCCCGACATAGAAGATCAACCATGCAGCCATAATGCTCAAGCCCGGCTTTAATTCCGTAATCAGGCGTCATGGAATCGAAATATTTACGTCCCATGTCTACAAAACCACTGTGACTACAAGCAGATAGAACGGAAACAAAGGTTATATAATCAGGCTTAAAACCTTCACCAATCATCTTGTCGAAAATTTTAATAGCTTCGCCTCCCCTGCCGTTCTGTGCAAACCCAGATATCATAGAGTTCCAAGAAACCAGATTCCTGACATCCATTCTGGCAAATACGCTATGGGCAGCATCAAAACATCCACATCTTGCATAAAGATCGACTAGTGCAGATTCAATTACTACGTCCCTGAATCCACCTTGCCTTAAAAACTGGTAATGAACTTCCTTCCCTGGTTTCAAAGCAGCCAATCCTGAACAGGCACGAATAACGGTTCCAAAACTGTGAAGTTCAACCCCATCCATCATCTTAAATAACTCGATAACTGTATCATAATCACCCGTATGGCAATAGCCGGTTAGCAAAGCACACCAAGAAACTGAATTTCTTTTGCCCATACTGTCAAAAACCCGACGAGACTCGTTCATAAGCCCACATTTGGCATACATATCCACTAAAGAACTATCAACGAATATATCACCACGTATCCCATGAGAAACAACCTTTGCATGCACTTGTTTTCCTTCCTTCAACTTACCTAAATTCCCCACAGCTGTCAAAACACTTCCAAAAGTATGGGCACCTGGAACCAACTTGTGTTTCCTATGTTCTGAATGGAAGATTTCCAAAGCTTTCCTAAACAAATTGTTTTTAGTAAGAGCTGAAATTAAAGAGGTCCAACAAATATCATCAAGAGATGGCATTTCATCGAACATCTTTAGTGCATCATCAGGTTTATAATTCTTCCCATACATATCGATCAATCCACTAACAATAACACCACTATCATCAAAACCGCGGGTTATCACAACCCCATGGAAACACATACCAAGTCTCAACTCCCGAAGCTCAGAGCACGCCTTGATTGCAGTAGATACAGTAAATGCACTCTGCTCAACCTCATGACCTACCATTTTCTCATACAGCACAAGCGCAAGTTTGGGCTTACCCACGCGAATATAACCCGATATGATAGAGCACCAAGAAACAACATCTTTGTAGACTAACCCATCGAAGAGACGTCGGGTTTCAGAGAAATTTCTTCCAAGCTTGAAATAAAACGAAAGGAGATTGTTGCCAACAAACCGGTCAGTATCAAGGCCAGCCTTGGTCACATGGGCCTGCAACTGGAGACCGAGGTTGAAAGAATTGGTTTTCCTGCACCCCCGTACAAGTGTGGCGTATAGGGCTGGTTTCACAGTTATTAAGTCTTCCGACACAAGAGAATTAAGGAGCTTTACAGCTTTGGAGATATGGCCTAAATCGCAAAGCTGGGCGATTTCAGATTCTTTGGAGGATGGGGAGAGATAAGTGCTGTAAAGTCGCCTGTTTCTGCTTCCACACAAAAACTTCGGCAACATTGACATATACAGTTTCTATGGAGAAAGCTATATATTGTGCATAAGATTTTCAAAAGCGCGGAGAGAAAAATCTGATCTTTTGTGGACTTCCGTTCAAAATTAAGTTAGAGTAAAGGTTATGGTTAAATTTAATTGGGAAAACTCTCGGAATTCTTATTATTACAAAAAAGTCAATTAGGTTTTCGTACTTACAAAAATCAAATTTTCGAACTTTGTAAAAACGTTCAATTAAGTTCATTTGCAAGTTACTTGCCATGTCAGCAGGTCACCCGCTAACGAGGCGCACACGTGGCGGTCCACGTGTACGCCACGTCATCATCAAAATGGATGGTTGGACTTCCACATGTGTGCCACGTCGCAAAGTCGTTGCTGATTGGATTTCCACGGGTGCACCGCGTTAGTGGGTGACCTGCTGACATGGCAAGTAACCTGCAAATGGACTCAATTGAACGTTTTTACAAAGTTCGGGAATTTGATTAATTTTTTAAAAAGTCCGAGGATCTAATTGACTTTTTCGTGATAGTACGAGGATCAAAATGACAGTTTTCCCAAATTAATTTGTTGTTTCCATTGATGCAAAATGGTGATTGCAGAGAATTAAGAAAACGCCTGAAATGTTCAAACCAAGGGCGTAGCCCAGGACGAAGGAGGTTCAGGAGGACACTTATAAACTAAAAAATTTAAACAAAATGATTCAAATATATTAAAAATCATAACATTTTTTTTAACATGAATCATAATTCATAACAATATTTTGAAGTACATATATGAAACTACAATGTTAAGGGAACACGACCTTTTTCACTCCTTTAGTCCTTTGACCTTAGTAATAGGCTTAAAGAAAGAAGGCAATTTTTTTCGCCTTCTCAGAAGTAGATTGGGTAGCCAAACTTATTAATTTGACAAAAATTAATAAAATAATCAATATATTATTTTGAATCAGATAATTCATATTAAATTGTTAAGAAATTGACAATCCTAAATTTCAATTTCACAAATTATTAACATTTTACATTCTTACAATTTCGTTTTATTAAAACTGTCAAATACTCAATCAGAATATTCAAGAATCAAGATTTGAAGCTATTAGCCTACATACAGGGCCGGTCCCGAGAAAACGGAGGCACTGTGCAACAATAAAATTTGGGCCTTTTTTCAATACAAGTTACTAATAAACGTAATGATTAAAATGAAAATAGTCATTAATAACTTAAAGTTTATTTAAAAAGAGACATTCTTGGATTTTACAATGTCATCTTCAAGTTTACAAGTTACCTAACAATATATCTATACCGCTTTCTTAAATTTTAATTGCTAAACACATTTACACAATTATTATCAATTCAAATAATGGTTTACTTTAACTGCAAAAAATCGACAAATAACCACAATACAACAATTCAACAAACATGAAATCAGAAAATCAGAAAATAAACAAATTAAAATTATTCAACAATTCAACAAACAATTCATCAATTCAACAATTCAAAAATTCACAAGAATTAGCAACTAAATGAATAAAAAAAACTGAAAATCAGTGGACTGACCGGACTCATGGAGGCGGGAGCGTGAGGGAGCCGGCCGGCAGGTCGTGGTGGGGCAGTTGAGCCGTGGCGGCCTGGGCCCCTGGCGGTTTGTGCGGTGTGGACTGCCGGCTGGAGCGTGAGGGAGGCGGCCCGGCAGGTCTGAACGGCTGGACGGCTGGACGGCTGACGCCTGGTGGACTGCGCGGTGTGCGGTGTACGGTGTGCGGAGGTGTGCGGCGGTGTGCGGTGTGCGGAGGTGTGGGGAGGTGTGGTTGTGGCGGTGTGCGGTGCGCGGAGGTGTGCGGAGGTGTGGTTGTGGCGGTGTGCGGTGTGCGGAGGTGTGGTTGTGGACTTGTGGCGTTGGCCGGATGAAAGGAATCGGCGGAGGGGAGGATTTTGGGCCTTAAACAATTGGGCCTGGGTTGGATTGGGTAGCCTTGCCCTAGGCCAGCCCCGCCTACCGAGCACGGAAATTCTTAGGAAAGAGAACGTTTCCGTTTCGGAAAATCTAACCTTTTTTGAAAACTTTTAAATGTTCAAATCAAAATAGGGAAAAAGACTCTAATAAGACTAAAACATAACCTTTGAACTTAAATAGGACCGACTACTTTTATAAACCTAAATAGGACTAAAGTTGATGGAAGGGACAAAATTACCCTTGCATTCATACGGAGTATTCTTGGTGGCTCTCTCTAGCTCCGTACAAAACTTGAACCCCAGACTCCTTGAATACCAAGCTTTCAGTCTCTTCCACTCCCAACTCTTTGTGAAAAGCAAATTAAGATCCGAGAACTCAGATCGAAACTCTAAAGAGGAACTGTGCCGACAATGAAAGAGAAGATGGGCAGCGAGAAGGACATGCAGGGCACCGTCCGTGATGGTGTCACAGATGAGATCTATTTTCTTCTTTTTCTTCTCTTTTCTCCTCCTCCTCTCCTTCTTCTGTTTTCTTCCTTTCTTCCGACACTGGCTCGCTGCTCATTTTTCGCTTTCTTCATTTCTGATTCTTCTGTCACTTTCTTTTACGCTTTGCTTTTCTGTAAGGTTCCTTCATGTATTATTTTTTTTAATATTTTTGTCTTATTCTAATTTCCTATTCAAATTGATTCGTAAGTGTTTTTTTGTTACATACCCTAAGTGTCTTGTTTTGTTTGATGTTTATGTTAATACCTTTTTATTATTTCTTGATTAACTTCAATCATTTATCCTTATAATGAATGCCTTTTGATGCAAAATCATGTGGTTGTCATTATTATTATTATTATTATTATTATCATCATCATCATCATCATCATCATCATCATTATCACATTCAATAAAAACAATATAATTATTATATTATTGTCATTGTTTTTAACTCTGATAATTTTTATAACATTGGATTGTTATGACCGTCTTTGACTCATTGGTTTCGACATTGACAATGTCATTAATAAAATGTCATTGTTGGTTGCATTGTCACTGTCATATTACAATGTCATTTTTATAGCATTGAGAGTTTTATTATTTGACATTGTGAGAATTTTTTGACATTCTCATAGCTTCAAACATTGAAATTTTTTAAAATAATATGACGTTGTCACATATCTCAATGACATCATCGAAATCAATGTTACTGCTCGACGTACAATGTCATCACTATGTTGTGTTTTCAGCATTCAAATTGACATTGTCATTATCATAATGTCATTTTTAAATCTCTGACATTGTCATATTTGCAATGTCATTTTTTACAAGTGTTAATGTTGACATTGTAATTGTCATTATTTGACATTGTTTCATTTTTCCTAATATTATACGAGTAATATATTATGATACATTATTACATTATCAGGAATGTCTTTTCAGCAAAAACATTTTTTTACAATTATAATATTTTTATAATTGTCATTATTTGACATTGTTTCATTTTTAATATATTTTTTTGCTAATTTCATGACAACTTTAATATCGACAGCAATCACAATAATAGTGTGGCAGTGTTGATGATATAAACATAATAATATTAAAAACAATGTCAATGTCACAATATTGTACAGAGTATATTTGTATTTATTGTAAATAAAAAAGAAAGAATGTTAAAATGCCATAAAAATATCAAAATTCTAAAAAAATCACAATGTCAAGAAAAATCATACAATGTTCAAACATTACCACTTAAACGTTAACAAAATAAACAATCTTTCAATATTGCAAATATTGTCAAAATGCATAAAAACGTCACAATGTCAAAAAAAATGTCACAATTTCATATAGTGAAGATGTCAATGTCATAAAAATGACATTATAATGACAGTGAAAATCACATTGTCATGATAATGTGAATGACATTGTCGTGACAATGTCAATGAAATTGTCGTGACAATGTCAATGTTAGAAAAATGACATTGTTAAAAACAATGTCAATGTAACATTATTGTAAAATTGTTAAAAATAAGTAATTGTGAGAAATGTTAACATTGTCAATATATGACATTGTCATAATTAAAAGGTAGAAAATATGTCAATGTTACAATAAAATCGCACGTTTAGTTGAGTACATGCATAATCAGCCTACTTGCTCATACAATTTAATTAGTTGAGTACATGCATAATCAGCCCACTTGCTCATACAATTTAAGTAAATTGCCCAAAACTCTTCTCAACTAAAAATGCAAAACAGGGACAATTTTCATATAGGCATTTCATCAAACAGTTGTAGTGCAAAAGAAAAACTCGCTGATACATACATTAAAATGAAACAACTACTCTCTACACAAAATGTGAGAATGTCATGGCAATATTATAAAAAGGACATCGTAGGAGACATTGTCTATGATCCATCCCACATTTCACAAGCTTCACCACCAGCACCCCAAGGCTTTGCATTGATCACTGCCCCATCATACCAGGATATAATGCAGCACCAAGATCAGCTTCCTCATCCAAGAATAAACCTTGGCCAGCATTTTTCATGGAGAATTTGAGATGGTTTTAATTCAAGAGTGTAGCCAATTACCTCCCTCAAACTCTGAGAAACCTCTGCACGCTTTAGACCCTTGGTTTGAGGAACAACAGAGCGGATATTCAATGGAGAACTTCCACCAATAGCAAGACTAAGACTGTTGCGATGAGGAGGGCTACTACATTCAGAGGGCGAGTGAGCTCAACATGGCTCTTTACATCAGGCAGTAATATTTCCCCATCATACTCCTTGCAATTTTGATCTTAACTCTGTTGCAACTTACATCTGTGAGACTGATTGGACTTCTGGAAATACTCCCAAAATGATAATAGAAGCTCTGGGAACTCTAATCGGGATGACATAGTAGATTTTCAACCAGCAAAGTGTGAAAGCTGAAATGCCAAAGATATTAACACAAACTAAAGGAAAATCACATAGCATTCTCTCAATTTAATTTCAAAAAAAATATTTTTCTAACAAAAAGAGAAGAGAACAAACACAAAAAGGTGAAAGGAACAAATAGAAGAAAAAGTCTAAAAAGATAATCGAAAGAGACAAAAATAATAAACAAAACAATTCATTTCGCAAAAATAATAAACAAAACAAATTGAATTATATGGAAAAGTGGAAAACGAAAGAAAAAACTAGACGGCCTAATTAAAGCAGAGCAAAAGCTAGACGGAAGCTAGAAAAATAGAGCGATAATGCAGGGTTTTCCCTCATGTTGGCCGATCAAATCTCTACAACGGACAGATCCGGCCGGTGAATCCAATAACAACCAGAATCTGCTATCAAGTGATATGAAATTGAGCAACGGTAGTTCTAAATCGTCACCGGTTCGTCTGCCGTTAAGAAAGCTGCTACAAAACGACCGTGATGAGCTAGACGGTGTTTCAGCGGGCTGACCTGTTTTGATGCTAACGGGAAAGATCGAACCATCCAGATGGGGTGGAAAATATTACGGAAGAAGAACTCAGGAAGTCCGACGGTGCGGTGGTTGGCCAGCGTTCCTATTGCGGCCGCCGTCATCGATGGCCTGGTCCGCGCTAGAACAAATAGACAGGAGCAGATTGAGAAGCGCTTATGTTAGACCAGACGACAAAGGAATGGAAAAATGCTGGCAGCATACAGTTTAAAACAAAATGAAAGGGAAGATCGTTCAATTAAATCGGGGGCGGACTCGGTATTAAGTAAAAAACAACTCCTGTTTGGGTTTAAAAAAGTGGGTGGTCTTATACACGTTGTATTACGCAAAGTTACGGTCTTATTTGAGACCATTTCTCAATCAAGATTTGGAACTCTTTGAAAACTCTCCAAACGAATCCTTTTTAAGAGATATGGTTTACCTATTGCGTTGTTGCTCAGGGCGATTAGCATAAGGCAGCCAGAACTCCCAGAAGTCGAGAAGAGAATTAAAATGAGGCGGGTGCGGGGCTGCAGGCATTGGCGGGTTGGCTCTCTGGCGTCTCTAAGAGATAAATCAATTATTGATGTGTAGAATTTTTTTAATTAGATTATTTTCGATGTCAGACAAAATTAGATCTATATAGGGCAGATAGGGCTGGCATTTTTAACCGAAAAAATGAAAACCGAACCGAAAAAACTGAACCGAGCAATAAAAAAACCAAACCGAAACCAATCGACTTGAATGGGATCCGAAACATGGGACCCGAGTATAAATCGGTTCGAACACGGTTCTGTAAGTTTTAAAATCGGTTCATACCGATCTGAATCGACTTTTTTTTAAATAATAATTATTTAATAATTTTATTTTATTCGTAGTTGTTAATGTAATAGGTATATGTTGCGTCTCTGATATACCATCGTTTCAAGGTAGCGTAGCATGCAGTTGCTCCTTCTCACCCGGGATCGCTTCCACACTCTTTCGGATTTCTTTAAATTTTATGTTTTTTAGTGCAGATTCCTTGCTCACTTAACTGCCTGCACTTCTTTGTTATGAAGTTGCAGTCAGTCCATGCAATTTTGGACGCGATTTTCACTAGTCATCCAGAAACAATGTCTCTGCGTACATTCGACCCCTTACCCCATCGTAGATGGAGCTTTTGTGGCACTGGAGAATGATGAGGAGGAGGACTAAAATTATTATCTCTCCTTAAATAACACTACAACTAAGAATATATGAATAAACAACAAGTAGTTTCCCAAAATTTACCGCCAGAAAGAAACCATCACCGAAATTCACCGTCGGACCCTCCTAGGCTCCAACAACCACTGGAAAGTTGCCAAAACTCCGGATTGGTAAACTCCAGAAAGACTAACCCTAAACCCTAAAAAGTATAGTTAAACCCTAAATCTCAAACCATAATGTTAAGCTCTATGAGTAGCTTAGACGAATATAATTACTCTTTTCAAACATATGAGCATAAAAGTTCTGTTTAAGGAATAAAAACTAGGAAGAGCTTAATTTTTGTCACATAAAGAGCAACTTACATATAAGTGATATAACTATACAAGTATAGCTACTAGTATAGACTCATACAACATGAACAATAATAAAAGGTTTACCATTCACATGGTAACATAACATCATACAGGAAATTCCTACCATTATCCTACTATTTCTAAGGAGAAATCCCTACATGAACAATAACTACGATTGGTGTTGCAGTGCTTTCGAAGTTCCGTTTATCATATATCAAATCTAAACCCCACCATGCAACCTACCATCGTGAATATTCAATAGAACATAGAATTGCTGTGAAGAGTGGTATACATAATACACTTGGACAAGAAGTATGAATACTGATGGAGTATATGGATCCAGACCCCAGGACCCACATACTCAGGAGAATAAGAGACACAGTTGTCACCTAGAGGGACCCCCGTCGGCCAGATGACCTCCATCGGCCAGGAAGAACATCTACTCATAATATGATCCAGAAGTCAGGAGAACCGGATGTCCCTGTCGGCCGGGTCTCCGTCGGCCATGTCTCTGTCGGCCGTGCCCTCGTCGGCCACGGGGAGCTCACAGAACAGGATTCCACACTTAATCATTTCTACATACTTTGTATTCGGCCCAGTAGCGGTCTAGTTGTAAATGGGTCTCCCAAGCCTAAGGCTTGGGAGCCCGGCCCATATTTCCTCTATAAATACTCCCCTCAGGGGTAGTTGTAGGGGGTCACAAATCATTTATTGCAAGGATTTATTGCACTTCTCTCTCTAGCTCTCACTTCTCTCTAGACAATAACTCTATCATTTGGTGCTTTCGTTGAGAGCTAGAACAATCAAGTTAGCATCCTTCGTCACTATCAAGCACAGCTAACTGACTATGGGAAGAACAAGGTCAAACCGTAACCCCGTCGGCAAGGCAGTCCCTGATGCCCAGGAGATCCGGGAACACGAGGAGGACGCTACGACCGACAAGGCTGCAGGGGGGGTGTCTTCCAGGAAGTCATCAACCTCACGGCTGAACTTCAAAATCAACTTAACAGCAACGCTCCCGATGCCCGCATCGGCATTGAGAAGAAACAGACGGAGAAAGGCGAAAATGCCTCGGGACAACCAGCCTCTCCCGCCGTTGACCCCCAGGTTCAAGCAGCCCTATCGGCCATCATCGCCAGCTTGGCCCAAAATCCCACCATCCTCAGCACGCTCATGCCAAGGACAGGGGAGAACGCCACTCCGACACCTCCTCAGCCCCCAGCCGTTGGCCATCAAGATAGGCAACGACGAAGGGGTGGTGTAACGCCCGTACTTTTTATCGATTTCTTATGTGTTAATTAATTATATATGATCATGTTTTAAATTATCGTTTGAATGCTATATATGTGAAGTATATGGATATCATGTGATTATGATCTTGGTGATAATTGTATTTGAATTATATACTTGAAATATGTTTGAACGTGATAAGTGACGGTATCCGATGAGCAACGCAACTATACTGTGATAATCATTCGTATTTTTGAATGCAATGGTATATCACGTTATTTGTCATGTTAGATAGTATTCGGGTGTTTAAAATATAGTTTAAAATGTCATTGGGGGTTTAGGATGGGATCAGCAACAATCGAGGTCGGTTTAGGGCGAAAAAGGACATTTTCGGCACCCAGGGGAACCCCAAACCGGCACCGGGTACAACCGGCGCCGGTCCAAAACAGAACTTTAGGCGGTGGAAAGGCAGGGAAACCGGCGCCGGTTGGGCCCTGACCGGCGCCGGTCCGGGCGATTTTTGCCCAAGTCGGTCAACATCGTATTTAAACGGGAAAAATTCCCTTTTTCCCCAAAACGAACCCTTGCTCGACTCCATCTCTCTGAAGTGATCCCAAACCCTTCCTAGGCTATTTCAAGCTCAAATTAAACCTATTCTTCATCAAGGATCATCATTTGGTAAGGTTTTACACTTAACATGAAGTATTTCTATTATATTTGTATCTATAGTTCTTGGTTGGGGATTTTTCTAAGGTTGATTGATTTAGGGTTGATTCTAGGAAAATTAATGGATTTTCTTAATAATAAGGTTGTTATGGAGTTGTTGTTCATCCTTGATTGAAAACCTTGTGAAGTTTTAAGTATTTACCTACCCCAAAATTATACCCAATTTAATGAAAGAATTTGGGAAGTATTTTAAATGATTAGTGACGGATTCTAAATAGATACATGGAGTCCTTGATATTATGAGAGGGATTTAATAGATGATGAGTCTTGATTCATGAAATTCAATCGGATTCTTAGTTATTTAGCCACCCCGAATCTATGCCCGATTAGTTGTAGGAAAAGGGGGAGTTTTTTAACTTGTAGGGGCTGGTTTGTGAACTTTCCCTCACCTTAAGTCTAAGGATTTTCTAAAGACATGTATTTAAGTTTGATCAAGTATAAGCTTGGGTATTTATATTTATAGTTGCTCATCAAAGAACCGTTGCTCGTGGACACCGTACACGCACACACATGGGCAAATACTCCGTGTGAATCAGGTAAGTCATCACCACCTATACATGATAGTTTGAAATGAAATATGGAAGTCTAGCTACCTATGAGTTGGATAGGTTGGCTTGAATACTTGAAATTGTATGGTATGATATTATGTGAATGCCATGTTATGTGTATATATTGATAGGTGATGTTGATGGAGAACTTGTTGAGTTATCGATGTAAGGTATCCAAGTTCTATGGTTAATGTTAGGTTGGATGTATATGAACTCCAACAAAGAATGAAAGTTGTGATGGTAATAATATCATATGAATGATAAGAAATGTTATAAGGTAGTCGTGCCCCCAAGTAAACGCCTGAGCTGTACGGAGCGGGATCTCCTTCCGCGGGTGAGCAGGTAAGATGAGCGGATGACGGAACAAAGCTAAACCCAGAATCTAAATAAATAAATATATATATATATATATTAAATTTAAAAATAATATTATATATGGGTTGGGGAATCCCCAAAGGGGATAAACCCGTTTTCCCATCACAACCGCGGCCGAGCCCAGCTCAGGATCCAAAGGACCGGGCCAAATGGGCAGGTAAGACAGGCGGATGGCGAGACGAACAAACAAAAGAATCCCAAGATGGATCAAATAAAAGAATCCCAAGATGGATCAAATAAAAGAATCCCAAGATGGATCAAATAAAAGAATCCCAAGATGGATCAAATAAAAGAATCCCAAGATGGATCAAATAAAAGAATTCCCAAAGGGATCAAAACCGTTCCACGCAAAGTACGAGGACTTAGCGTAGCCCAGGATCCGAGGACCGGGCTAAAGGGCAAATACGAAGAGTAGATGAGGACCACTCCAGAGGACCCGAGGGCCTGGAGACGAGCATTTCCATTCCAGAGGACCTGAGGGTCTGGAGACGAGCATTTCCACTCCAGAGGCCGAGGCCTGGAGACGAGCATCCCCACCTTCGAAGACCCATAAAGAGAGAAAGAGAATGAGCTAGGTACAACGAGCAGATGAGGACGACCGTCTTATGCAGCACGATCGACCCCTCATCGCCATCGTATCCAATTTGTATCACATCTTACATGCCCTCTCTCATACATGGCACTCATACATCACATGCATTCATACATGGCTGAGGGCTTCGGTCGAACATCTTTCACCCGGATGCCAAAGCCCGGGGGCGAACATCTTCCACCCGGAGGCCAAAGCCCGGGGACGAACATCTTTCACTCGGAGGCCAAACCCCGGGGACGAACATCTTCCACCATAGGAGCCGATGGCCAAGAGGTGACCATCGCGACCG